TCATAATATGCACCCAATTTCAAATAATAAAGGATTTTGATATACAGATTACAAACATTATGACTGTATTCGACATAGCGGGTATGTGATTTAAAAGCTGAACTAAAGAAGCGAGGGCCGTCTTTACGAGGAAGGAACGCTGATCTAGTAGAAAGGTAAGTGAAAAGGTATTTTAAAGAAAAAAAAATTATATCTTCTTTCTTTAAAATATTATCATCTCCCTCATATTTATCTTTGAATAATTTACTTTAACACGTTTTATCGGAGGTTATACAATTTACTCCTATAAAAAAAAGTATGATCTTTACTTACCTTTTTTATAGAATAATAATAGATATAAAACGAGCACACAGGCACCTGATGGTAAGTGGATGCTGTGGCACATAGACATCTTCATTTATCCTCGATTAAGAATCGAAACACAGATGCGTTGTCATCCCTAAGGACTAAGATGGAATGCCTTGTTTCCAGTAAAACGGGTCTCCAGTTCTCTACACTCACCATACAAAACAAGCAGCATCAAGCTGCTATTTTCTTTATATACTACACAAGGCATAATACTGATGTTTAAAGATAAAACCTTATTTGTTCTCAGATTAACCAAAATTTTAAATAAGGAAACTCCCAGAATCTGTGAAGGTGATCTTACAATGAAACTTCCAGAGTCCACCACATATCGAGATACAACCTCTAACAAAAATGCATATAAGACATTATTTTCTACTCATAAGTTTGTTCTTCATAATAATGCTATAAAATTACACAAAAAACCTAATATAATATGTAAATAAAACTTCTTTTTTATTTTATTCTGATTATTCTCTTGTTTGAAGTTTGTTATACATGTCTTTGGATTTCAGTATTTAGTAACAATAAGGTGGTCGTAAGTTGTTAGTCACTATAGTAAAAAAGAAATAATGTTTATAGGTTTCAGATGCAAATATATTTTATTTGTTACAGTGTTGATAATAAACTTGATAAGGCTAAATCCTTATATAAGTCTCGATACCTCATCCTTGCAAGAACTTCAACTATTGGTGACTACTTTTGTGAAAGGCTGTTGCAGAGGTCATGCTAGCTTTACAGTATGAAGTAGATGTAAAAATCATAAAAATGAAACACCTTAGGAATCCCACTGCTAATGCCCAGCTGGACGTAACATAGATGCAAAGTGCAAACATGTTCCTGAAAAACTGAGCTTATTAAATGTTACCAAAGAATCGATAAAAAATATTTATATCACAAGAGATGATCCTTTCATTTCAGTGATGTTAGAAAAATTTGATGATTTTTATAATAATTGAAGTAACTTAAATAACATTTTAATTTAAATTTGTAGAATAATACGATTTAATAAAAAAAAACAAAATTAAGTCCATACTTTTATTTATCCATTACACAAGATTACATGTGTTATAAAAAAGAGATCAGATACAGGAAATGGTTAATGAGTTTGACCAATGCAGCAAGGAATATGAGAAAGTCAGGTTTATTGCTGCATTGAAGCGAATAATGCTATATCAAACATAGTTGTACACTGGTTTAACATCAATAATTTGATTTTAATTGGTAATAAAACAAAATACATTAAATTTACCACATCTAATGTTAAGCAGGTGAATACCAGTGTGCTTTTAAATGGGAAGGAGATGAACCTTGTTGAATCCACTGTTTTTTTTTCAGAATTACAGTTGATGCAAAGCTTTAATGGGGCTCTCATATATCTAAACTAGCTAGAAAATGCATTTCTGCAGCATATGCTGTAAAAAACATCTAATGTCTGAAATGTGTTTAAACAGCTAGAATACTTTATGTTTCTTATTTCCATAGCATAATGTCATATAGAATTTCGCTATGGGGTAATGCAACTGACATTGAAACTATATTTGTTTTGTAAAAGAGCCATAAGAGCAATTTATAATGTAGGTCTGAAGAAATCCTTTAGAAAAAAATTTAAAGACATAAATATAAACTATGCCCTCTCAATATATTTACAAACATTTAATGTACACAAAAACAAAAATAGTTTTATTAGAAGTAGTGACATACATTCTACTTTATTCTACTAAAAAGTACAAGATTGACTATAACCCCTCAGAATCAGGTGATCGCTACCATGCTGTTTCTAAATGTCTTCATAACACTTGTATAAATATTATATTGTAAATTATGCTTTAAAAAGAAGAAGAGTCCCTCTGGGTTTCTTGCTGGTTCTTCCGAGGACAAAGTTTTATTTCCGAACTGGTGTTAAAATTAAAAACTTACTCAATAAGAATTACATGTAGGTAATCAATTTTGTATAAAAATGATTTTATTCTATTCTACATGTATGTGTTATATTAGTTTAACAAATATATGTAAATAAAGAACTTAATAAGCTAAAAATTGACTTTCAATAAGAATTATATAAAAATAATATTCTAATCTATTCTCACCTAATATTTATTAAACATTTTATATACTTAATGATTTTTAGTAAAATAAATTAATAGTAACTAATTAAAAGAGAAAGGTTCCACCGTATTGATAATTTAAATAAGTAATAAATAAAATAGTGGTTATTTGTGTATTTTTATTTACAATATTTTTCTTTAGTTTACATAACAACATAACAAAATATTTTTGAGGCCAAAGGAATAATATAGAATGAGACAAGTGGTGGATGTAGTATTTATTAGGAAAGCCTTTCTATATGTACCAATTGACTTGCAAGTCTGATCATGTTTTAACCATTTCACTATCCCGTAAGTCATATGTGAACATTTAAATTGTTTAACTATTGTGTCTACTCTGCGAACAGGGAAGTTGTTAATACTGCAACTGGTAACTGTGATTTACAACTTAAGAAAGTAGGTATGTTGACTGCAATATTTTTGAGCACATAAGTCTTGCACATTAAAACCTATATCTGCCATTATACTGTCCCCATCATTACACATATTTAACAATGAGCTATGTTCAATTATTTGCTGGTCACTGGTTCGTCCCCCATAACCTTCAGAACAAAAAGACAGCAGACGCCTAGTATAGGGCTCACCAAATACTTTAGTGTTGGTATTTTTGTAAGTGCTGTAAGTAGCTATTTAGAATGTAAGATTACTAGGTTTATCAATAGGCATCTTTAAACATTTAAGGCGTATAGTTTTGTACTGAATCATGCGAGGCCAAATATCAATATCATTGATCATAATTTATGTACTATTGTAACATACCAATCACTTTGATTCCAAGTAACTATTATGTTGAAACCTCTATTTTACTTATATTGAACATTTTAGCTATTTCATAATCAGGTTTATTGCATATGAGCTTAAACAGTAATATAAGTAATTGATCTTCAATTGACACACCACTTACTTGACTTTAGCGGTATATAAGATTATATTGGCAAGAGGATGTTGAGCACTAGATGAAATTTTAAGTAAGATTCTAAACGTGTGTACAACATGAGTGACTTATTATCAGTTAATAATAAATCTGTAGAAAATATTTTTAACATAACACTTGTCTCTCTGTTCCTATTGACTTATAATTGTGGGCAGGAGTTAATTCCTCAAGGTTTTCTGCTTCTAGACACTGTTCACTAGCGATATTCAGAGGCTGCTTACAAAATTCTTCAGCAAAGCTTAAGTCTTCAGATCTAGATACTCGTATAGGCACAGAGGTGTGCGTCTGCTCAAAAATCGCCAATAACCGTTCCTCTCGACATTGCTGCGAAACAGCTTTCGTAGTCCATGCAAACACTGATAGGATTGCAGTTTTTTTTTTCAAGTAACAGTGCTGTTGTTCATTACCTGAAAACAACCAAAGTTGATAAGGAGAATGTACATATGTGTGGTGCAAAATATTTTTACAACAAAATCAATATAAATATATATATATATATACCTGTATAAATGCCGGTTTTTTGATAATCCGTCTCAAAAAATGATTACGACATAACCTAGCATATTTTCAGGCTTAAATTTTTTCCCTCTTATAGCTTTAAGACACATTTTTCTCAATTTAGCGTTTTTAGGAAATTAGTGTGCACCAATATATTTGCGATAAGGCACTTCACACATCTTTGGTATCTCATCATACAATTTTATCTTTTTTTGTTTAAAAGTTTTAAACTTTAAAGCTATGCTAGCGCCACTTTGACAATTACCAACCCAATTTCACACTCGAAGATTTCGCATAATAATGACGTCCACTTGCCACATGTGTGAACACCAACTTGCTATTTGTCACTTGTCATTGCCGCTCGCACTTGTAACTTCTCAAAATGTAAACCGGGCTTTAGGTTGAGAGTGAGACAAAAAATCACAATGCAAGAAAGAGCGGGATAGCACATTCGCTTCTTTTGTTAGACAGTAACCGGTCGGGTCGGGTCGGTCGGCGAGCAGGTAAAAACCTTTAGTCATTACGCGTGCATGTCGCATTTTACGTGTCACAACTAGTTTTATAATAATTCGCGTAAATGAGCAGCTATTACTTATTCTCATAGTGGTTTTTGTCAAAATTACGTTAATTACATTTTCAACAAAATCAGCTTCTCTGGAACTAAAATAGCATTTTTTTTGTATTTTTTTAATGAAAATGCACTAGTATTGTATCTTTCCTAAATCACCATTAAACAAGCTATTTTTTAAGTTTGTTGTACAGAACTGCCACATACATTTTTTTTCACCACTGTAGGTTAACCTTTAACTACCGACCTATACGTCTCACAGACGTAATAAATTTTCATTTTCAAATATTTCTAAAATCACGCCACCGTTAGCGCCGCCCTTCCCGCTACCTTCCTCCCTCCGCGTCACAAGCCATCAGTCAACGCTGCGCCGGCGGCGATTGCACACATCTCCGTATTAAAGCGATCGACGTCTCACAGACGTAAGTACGGTGTTTATGTACTAAATTTCGTAAGTCTCTTGGTCGTCACCTCGGTATTCATGTATGGTAGCTTATAGTGTCTGATTGACGTCACATCGGCTTTAAAATTATACTTTTAGTTGCAGAATACCTAAAAGGAGAAACGTCACGTCTAGTGAGCAGAAAATACCTGCAAAAGATGACGGTTCAGTTTCCGAGAGGCCTCTGAAACTTCGAAAACAGAATAGACCTTTAGAAGATAAAGAGATATGTGAAAATCTTACAAACGAGAGTGACGACAACTGTAGTGATTTTGACGACGATGTAGGCGATCCTGATTTTATTTTAGAGAGCGATCACAACACGGAATCTGAACAATCCGATGAGGATGATGTTGACGTCACGTATCCCCATGTTGAGGAAGTTTACCACGGAGAAATCAACCATAATCACGACAATGAAGAACAGGAAAGAGAAGTACGAGCTCATGGAAGCCAGGACATTACAGAACAGATCGGAAAAGAGACAATAGTCGGAGAGAAACAGCATGGCGCAGCAGAGACTAGAATTGAAGAGATCGGAGAGGAGCAGTATAGCGAAGTAGAGACGCGAAATGACCAGGGTAGTGAAGATCTTAGAATAGACCAGGAGCCAAATGAAGAATCAACAGGAGAGCTGCCGCACTATTTTTACGGGAAGAATAGGTACAAATGGGCATCGGCGGAACCATCCCGAACAAGTCGAGTACGCGTGCACAATATTGTCAATGCACCATCTCAAGTAAGTCCGTTTGAATTTGAATCTTTCACGGAATTATGGAAACTGATGTTTAGTGATCACATGATTGAAATGATAGTAACTTATACAAACAAGAAATTAGATAGCTATAGGGCTAAGTATAAAGACAGTAGCAGATCTGAACTAGGCTCAACGAATGAGACAGAAATAAAGGCTTTAATTGGGCTATTGTTTTATACATCAGTATTCCAATCAAATCACGAAAATTCAGACTTTATTTTTGCAACAGATGGCACAGGACGGGATATTTTTCGCTGCGTTATGTCCAAAAACAGATTTCTGGTCTTGTTAAACTGTTTGCGTTTTGATAATACTCAAACAAGATCTGAACGATTAAAAGACGATAAACTTGCCGCTATTTCAGAGTTATTTCATGAGTTCATCAGTAATTGCCAGAAAAATTACACTTTGGGTCCTTACATTTGTATAGATGAAATGCTTGTAGCTTTTAGAGGGCGCTGCAAATTTAGAATATATATGCCAAACAAGCCAAATAAATATGGATTAAAAGTTCTCCTGCTGGTTGACGCTCAAAGTTTTTATATATACAATGCTTATGTATATTATGGCACAGAATCTGATGGCCATGGTCTAAGTGATGCAGAAAAACGCTTTTCAATTCCCACACAATCTGTTCTACATCTTTGTAAAGGGATCGATGGCTGTAACCGAAATATAACAGCAGATAACTGGTTTACCTCGATCGAACTACTGCAAGCACTGAAAGATCGTGGATTTACTTACTTGGGCACTATGAAGAAAAACAAGAGGGAGATCCCACCAGAATTTCAGCCTCACAAAGATAGAGTGGTTGGTTCTTCGTTATACGGATTCACCAAATACTATTATATATACTATTCTGTCTTACGTGCCTGAGCCTAAAAAAGCTGTATTACTGGTGTCGTCTATGCACCATATCAAAGAGACTGATTCTGCAACTAATAAGCCTATTATGATAATTGACTATAACAAGACGAAAGGAGGGGTGGATGAGGTGGATAAGAAATGCTCGAATTACTCGTGCTCTCGAAGAACTCGACGTTGGCCTACGACTTTGTTTTACAGGTTGATAGATATGAGCGGTGTTAATACGTATGTATTGTACAACAAGTGCACAAACAAGGGCGACATAAGTCGTGGCCGATTTTTACTCCTGCTGGCTCGTGAATTAGTACTCCCGGAAATGAAATTACGCGTCTACAATGAGAGGATCCCACGGGAATTGCGGCTAAGTATCGAGCGAGTTATTGGACCCGCCGATATGCCCGAGCCTCCACCACCAAAAACTTATCAGAATCCAGATTCAGGTGTTAGAAAAACATGTGCAATCTGTCCCAGTCGGTTGAAAAGGCGAACGAAGTACTGTTGCTGCAAATGCAAGAAACCAATGTGCCTTACTTGCTGCCTACAAATATGCATTGACTGCAAATGTACGTAGTGAATGTACCAAATATTCGAGGGCTGTCATTTTTTTTATTTTTTAACTAATAAGTAAGATTTATGTTTTATTTTGATAATAGTTTATAGAAGATAACATATTTTAAGTTAATTTGTTGTTAATTACTTAATTTTAGAGAAAAAGAAGACTGAAGTAAGTCCTTAAAATTTATTGCCAAATAATTGAGATCTCTCGAATAAATGTTGATTTTACCAGAAAAATAGCGTGAATTTTTTTTATTCTGTAGTTTGTCACCTCAAACAACAATTTTTTTAAATGTATAAAATAGAAAAATGTAGCATGAAAATACACATTTTATTCAAGTACTTAAAGTTTGACGTCTCTCAGTCGTCACGTCGGCGTAAGTGCTACGTTTAGACCAGGTCGGCAGCTAAAGGTTATAAAAGCTAAGACCCTGCTAGAATTATCCAGATGCCCATTGCAACATTCCAGCCAGTTTGAATTTGTATCAGTGTCAGAAGATGAAGTAAAATGATCAGTGCTTCTCTTTTGCTGAATCTTCTACTGCAACGGGAAATGACAAAATTTCTTCCACAATGATAACTATGATTTTACCTTGTATTCTCCCAGTTCTTACTCACATATTTAATTTTTCATTATCTTTCTCCTGTGTGTTGTAGCAATACGGCTTTCTTGTGGACATCGCTCACCCATACCATTTGTGGGCGGCATCGTAGCGCATAGCGATGCGTCGTCTATCTTTCGGATTGGGATGAGTGTGTTTGGTAGCACTATTAAGTGTAACAGGCATACTCAACTTCATGTCTTAGTGTATTAGCGCTATGATACGTAGAGTTTTGTTCACTAGCTTCTTAGTAGCGTGCTAATATGATACGTTAGTGTTTTTTTTTTAGTTAACAACAATACAAATTTTGTTACCAAAGTCGATAGGGATCATGTGGGTGTGTTGTGAGGGAGTGCCATCCGTATGATAGTTGCATTGATGCTTACTGCTACTCGCGGTATTGCATCTTGTGATAGATCTGCAGATGTGCTGCGCCTGATTCGACGCATTCTTGTGGTTCTGGTAGATGAAGGTATGCGGGTGATGATTTCTGCTGGGATGTATGAGGGACCTAGGGATGTTGTAATCTCGACGATAGTCGTATTGATGCTTGTTGCGTTTTACAGCATTGCAGCATTGCGTCTCTGCGATGGTTGTTTTTTGGGACGCTATTCTCAATGGCGCTCTATGCGTCTTGGTTTGACTCACACCTAAGTAGCTTTGCCCAAGTCGAGTCCCTTCATTACGGGGCTGCAGACAGTCTGACATCCATGATGTAAGTACATAATTTTATAAAAACAAAACAGAAGAGCGTTACAATATCAATGACATGTTGCAAATCGGTAGAATTCATAGCTATGTAGACGACAGCACTGTGATGTTTTATTCACCGGCCGTGCCAATATTTCTCAGGAAAACGTCACCGAGTACCGGGACAAACTTGTGTCTGAAGTCAAGGCTTTGTTGAACAAATTCTCGGGGCGACTAAATCTAGTCCAGTTTAATCCCCAGAAGACACAAGTTTGCGCGTTTACCGCTAAAACGAACCCTTTTGTCGTATCTCCTCAGTTTCAAGGCACTCCCCTTGTTGCCTCAGCCAGTATCGGAATCCTAGGCGTCGACATATCGAGTGACGTGCAGTTTCGTGGTCACTTGGAAGAGAAGGCCAAATTGGCCGCTAAAAAGCTTGGCGTGCTCAGCAGAGGGGGACAGTATTTCATGCCGGCTCACCAGCTGCAACTTTACAAGGCGCAATGTCGGCCGCTAATGGAATACTGTTCCCATCTCTGGGCCGAGGTTCCTCAGTGCCTGCTCCTTCCATTTGACCGCATCCTGCGCAGAGCAGTTCGAATCGTTGGCGACCGAGCTCTATCCGATCGGCTTGACTCACTGACATAGCAAAGAGATGTTGCATCTCTTTGCGTATTTAATCGCATCTACCGCGGGTAGTGCTCTGAAGAATTGTTCGGACTAAATCCAGCCGCACAGTTTCACCATCGCACTTCGCGACAAAACTCGCAATACCATCCATACCATCTGGATGACTGGCGGTCCACTACTAAGTGATTTAAAAGAAGTTTTCTTCCTCGCACGACTTCTTTGTGGAATCAACTACCACCAGAGATTTTCCGGACCGATACGACCAAGGGACCTTCAAGAAAAGAAGCTATTCCTTTTTAAAAGGCCGGCAACGCATGTAAAATCCCCCTGGTGTTGCAGCAGTTCATAGGCGGCGGTAATTACTTACCATCAGGTGATCTGTACGCTCGTTTGCCCCCTCTCCTATAAAAAAAGAAAGAAGGTATCATTTACTTTTTAAGGTATTATTTAATTTATTTTTTTACTATCCCGACGTTTCGGGTGCTTTACAGCACCCATTGTCACGGGGGGGACTGAGATGTTTGACGTCCCAATGTCATAGTTAGTCCGGCTACCTTCAGTTTTTGAATATTAATTTTTAGTCCGATTAACGCAAAACGAGCAAATTGTCTATGGTGTCATTTATGGAATGTAAATCGAACCGTTTCTGCTGAATCAACGTTCGTAACAACTTTTACTTGCCTGATTTAAGATCTTAGCGCTCTCTCGAATCCCCCCCGAACGGGTTCCCGCCTTGTCGTGGCGGGGGGGCTTAGTAGCCGTGGCTTGGTCTCCCACGGTGAACAAAGAGGAACCCACGTGGCTGGCCCGAGGTGAAGGGCCGGCCTGAGGTGGCCGCTCCGAGTGGGCTTGGGGAGCCCACTTCGGATGTGTGCTGTTGGACTGCAGCGAGTGGGGACTCGCGCACCCTCTACCGCTGCAGCCGAGGTGGAGTCGCGGAGGAAGAGGAGTGTTGGTATGGCGATGCGCCACTCGCCCTATCCTTCGCGACTCAAACGGGGCCGCACCGTTGATGCGGTGGTGGTGGGGCTGCGGGGGGAGAGGATTGTCGGTATTGCGAGGCGCCGCTCTCCCTACCCTCCGCAGCCGAATCTTGGTTGGCGGCGGAGCCATAGACCAGATCCGCCGCTGGGGTCGGGAACGCTAGTACTTCTAAGTGCTCGTTTTTCCTGGCTCCATGGCCTTTGTGCATCGGACGCGGGGGCGTCTGTTGCACAGACGTAGTTGGAGGCCGTGGAGGAAGGCGCGCCATGTGTTCTGGTGCGCCTTACCTGGGAAGGAGAACGGGGAGGAATTTTCCTCTCCCGAGGAGGTGCTGCCATGGGGCGGCAGGCGCTAGTAGGGCCGCGGACGTGTGCGAAAGCGTTCCCGTAGCCCTGCCAATATGCGACAAAGGTGGAACACCATGGGGTTTTAGTCGGTGCGAGTCCGACATAACCCGTCCTTGCCCCCGCGAGGCGGTAGGCATTTCCCCATGCAAAAAAAAAAAGCGCTCTCTCGAATGTCCTTTTTTGTTGATATTTTGACACACGTAGGAATGAGAATATAGTCTCTGCATCTCTTCAAGAAATTTAAAGATGTTACATATCTTGCGCGCTTGGTTTTAAGATCTTCTAATAGGCGAATTTTATTTGTTATTACCAGTCCGTACTGGTTCACATAATGATTTCTTAAATTTACGCGAACACTACACATTGAATAAAACTGTTATTTACGGATTTTATCGCGTTTAATTACAACTTTAATTTATTTACTTTTTATTTTTTTTACTCTTCCGACGTTTCTGGTATTCGCTACCATTTTTGTAAAGAGTGTATCGCTGATAAAATTATTGAACTAAGATATTTGAAAACAGCCTAGCCGTGGTAGCTCAGATGGTTAGCGCTCGCTGTAAATTTCACAGTACGCTAGCAAACCGGGTTCGATCCCCACCGGCACCAATGAAATTGTTAAATGCAATTTTAAGTGCTGATTTACCACGTGCTAGGCGGTGAAGGAAAACATCGTGAGGAAACCTGCATGTCTGAGGAATAAGAAAAAAAATATATTTCGAAGACATGTGAAGTTCGCCAACACGCATTGGGGCAGCGCGGCGGACACTTCCTTGTCCTAAAACTCTCTCAGAAATGAAGGGAGGCCTGTGCCCAGCAGTGGGACGTATATAGGTTGTAACTTTAACTTAACTTTTTTATTTGGAAACAGCTGAAATGCCAGCAAGCCTGTTAAACAAAAAACTAAAGGTTTGGGTAATACCAAGCACTATAACCCTACTGTAGATGAATTATGTTGGTTTAGAAACACACGCATCGTTGGCACCGTGATAATGAATCAGCGTAGCTTATCGCAACAATGGCGTTAGCAGCCTTTAAACCGCACGAAATGGCTTTCTGTCACACGCGAAAAGACAGCCTGTAAGCGGAAAGACAAGCGGTATGCAACAAAGCAGGGTCCTGGACGGAGGTCAAGTTAAAGCTAAAGGAGGCCTACAAAAGCTATTAAGTCTGACAGTATTTTGAATTACAATTTCCACAAATTCTGGTTGACCTAAATGACCAATACTTGTTCCATCACAGGAAGTCCATGAAATGGTTGAGAAGATGTTCTTCCATTTGGTGGCTAGAGCAACGGCAAACGCGTACATAATTTATAATAAATCAAGAAAATTGGCAAAGAGACCAAAGTTTTCGCAGTTCTAAACACCTGCGGCGACGGTCTCCTGGAAGATGTACGGGCTGCTAGACCTTCTCATGGTCCACATCCCACCGCAAAGTCTACCAGACTGGTGGACAGATACTTCCACAGGCGAATACGTGCGTGGTGTGTGTGTGAGTGCGTGTGTGTGGCGTGTGTGCGTGGTGTGCGTGTGTGTGGGTGCTTGTTTGTGTGTGTAAATTTCTTATAATTTTAGAACAACTTGACCGATTGAAATGAACTAAGCGGCTATCCAAAGTGTTTCATTAAACTTAGATTTCCTATGAATTTTAAATAATTCGGACCGGTAGATTTTGAGAAAAAAAAACGATTTTTAAAAAATATTCCCTTCTCCTTTTTCTTCACTCTGAATAAATCATTGACTTCAAATATCTGTAAAAAACTTATTTCATATTAATCATGTTACATTAGACTGTTTACACATTATTAAAATAAAATAAAAAGTAAATGATTTGTCTTTCAAACTGGCCACAATTTACAACTAACTCCAAAATTTTAGGTTTTGTCATCAAAAATCATTAAAGCTTGATAAAAAAATAGTCGCACTTCGTCTAAGACAAGTTGGGTTCAAATGGTTCTGAATAGTCTATACTAGCTCCGCTTTACGGCTTTGCATCGACCTTCCAAACATCCTGTACAACATTTTATTGTTTTTCGGAACTAACAACTATTGACCGGCGCTGATTCTATCAGTTATCCACTCGTACATAATAAATACGCCGATAAAAAAAAATTTCTCTGCTGTTACGCGACTTGCTCCTTTATTGTACTGCGAACGACGAACGAAACGAACGAAAACAAAAATGGTGTGATGTATGTGTTCAAAGTTTCACGACGAGTTCTTCAGAAATGTTTCATAATTCATAAAATGTAAAAAGAGGTTAATACAAAATCGGCGACGATGGTTATCTGATACACCCATCAAATGATGATGTCACGTTGTTTTGCAGTTCTGAAAATCATTTTAGGCAAAACATGAGGAACAAAAGAATGCATGACTTAATTTTATGCCAAAAATTAATTAAATGATCTGCGCAATAATCAGTGCCTCTTTGACACTTTAAAAAAACATGTTTTAGATCAAGCCCCGTTGGATGACCACACATACCTCCTTATGAAAGGTTTTATTGAAATGTACTTTGATCTTCGATTAAAGCACTTCAAATCGATAAAGTTCGATAGAGAACCCTTACGGACCCATTTGAATAAAACTGTTATATTCATGGGACAGTGAATGATGGCGTGTTGTATCTATAATAAGTAGCAAAGGAAACCACCAGCAATATTTTAGTACCTACTATATATATTTTTGAATCTTCATGCTTTTTATATAAAATCATAAGTAAACCTCTAAAAAATCTAAATATATTAAGGTCCTCTCCCCCCTGGACCGCAATAAAGTTAAGACGTGTGCGATTATAGTGTTTATTTCAAAAAATAAATTAGTTTTTAAAATAAAGTGATATAATTTCGTCCAAGTAATAGGCGCGCATAAAACAGTAAGTGTCAAAACAATCACCTAATACAGTGAAGCGGCACGAGCAAGACAACTCTACTCTGTACTGCACGCACGCTCGCACTGTCGCTTGTCGCAATTTAAAAGCGTCAGCGACTAGCGGGTAAATATTGGTGTATGGTCTAAAGTAATTAATATTTTATTTCACTACAACGTTGTAATTTAGATTTATTAAAAAAAATTAAGCTATCAAAATGTCCGTTGCACGCACACCTACGAAAAGCAGTTCTAAATCTATTTCTCCCACTTACTATGGATCCGATCCAGCGATCTATACCCTCGGGAGCCATGAACATAATATAGATGTTAATATTAAAAAAAAGATCTAAACGCCGGTTGAATTACCCACCCAGAACTTCCGATTTAACATTAGCGGACCTAATGGTAAGATTGGATGAAATGAATAAATTGCAAGATGCTAAGTTCGCTTTTTTGGAGTCATCCATGAACGCCTTATCAAAGAAAATGATTAAATCAAGGACACAGTTATACATTTGTCCGCTAAATACGACGATGTTTTAAATAACTTAAAAAACTTCAACTAGAAAATGATTTTTTTAAAAACCGCATTAAAACTCTAGAAGGGAAGCTTGAACAATTTGAAGAAAATGCACGATCCACCACAGTTGAAATTTTGATACCCCTGACAGCATAACGTGAAGTCGATATGACTCACAACTGTTTTCGACCCGATTGCGCTATCTTTATTTAATATTGTAATTTATTCAATAGAATAATGTTTTTACACCAGTCTAAGAAATGAAATAAAAATAACTATTAATTTGTATTATTTTTCTTTTACTTAAAAACAAACAAAAACTCAAAGTATTTTGGAATAATGAAACTTAAAACGAGTATTTATTTTTCTTTGGGTAAAGATCACTTATCTTCTACAATTAAAAAAATATAAAAATAAATAAAAAGAAAACACTAAAAATATCAAAATAATAACATATCAGTCTCAAAATAGGAACTACTTACAGTCTAAACAAGTCAATACTTTATGCTCTCCACAGACACGTTTTTTACATTTCTTGCACTCTGCCTGCGTCTTTCTTCTTAGTTTCCACGGACAGAAAGCGCAGTATTTCCTTCTCTTTGCAGCAGGTTCATCATCACCTGGTAAGTTCGTGGCAGGGGAAATTCGGTAATATACTTTGTATATTTTCTTTGCTTATTTTCTGTCACTTCAATTATTGCTAAAAATGTCAATTATTGCTCATATTCTGTCACTTCTTTACAATGTTCTCTTTAATCCTTCCTATCCTCCTTATCTTAAGGATCGTTTTTAATTCCTTCACTATTCCCATTCGAAAGTTTGGAGATCATCAGAATTTTACATTAAAAATGCCTGCCCATAATAGCAAATTTATGGACAAGTCGTTTAGTATCCAAGCAGTCCGTCTATGGAATGCCCTACCTCTGTCAGTGAGACGCGCCCAGTCTTTACCTGTTTTTCAGAAACTTGTACACAGTCACTATCTTAATCTTTGAGTTCGTGCCATTTATATATGTAGTATACATTCGTATTTTTTTTTGTATTTATTTGTTGTTTATTTCTAATTATATTATATAAAATAAGGATATTTTTATAAATATTGTTTCTGCATCACCAAACCACACAATTTACTATTTTTTGCGATCCTGTCCATCCAAAGGTTGTCTGGAAGAAATCGCTTTTAGCGATAAGACCGCCCATTGTGACACTATTTTTTTTCTTCTTCTTTCGTTTATGTATTGATTTGGTGTACAATAAAGAATTATCTATCTATCTATCTATTTTCGCGTAATTTGCGACTCAGATTAGGAATTTCAGGCCTTTTCTCCATCCATGGCTTTGCTAAGTCTGTGCTCAATTGTTTCATAAATGCCCGTCTATTTAGGGGTTTTTCCTTTTTGGAAAGCATGTTGTGGCAGTAAATGACGTAGCTGTTGACAAAAGCCATATTCATCATGCCGTAGAACAACGCCATGGGCCATCTATTTGTCTTCCTACTGCATGTCATCTGCGAGCACATTTGGTCGAACGAATCAACTCCTCCCTTTGTTTGATTGTGAAATTCAATCATATCTGGTTTTCCGGAGCTAGATTTAACGACAACGAAACTTCAAGTGCGCGCGCGCCTTTGTCGTAGAGTAGGACACCAGTTATCGACGATTAGCTTCTTTCAAAGGGAGTAATAATCGATAAACAAAAAAAAAAATGTTCAGCTTTAAACACTTAGGGTATGGTTTTTTTAGAATAATCGTGTTGTTATGATAATTCTAAAAACACTACGACCTAAGTATTTAAAGCTAAACTTTAAAGTTTTGTTTAAGTGTGTTCTTGTAGATTTAGAGATAATAAATTATTTTAAAAACGTTCGAAATTGTTTATGTTGAGTCCTTATATATAATAAGTAAAAATGTTCTTATTTTAATACATTACATTGATCTCAGTATTGTGGTATTGCAGATAGTAAGGTTTTATTTAGATCTATATTTATAATAATGGAACAAAAGAAAAAATGGAGTGAAAATTGGAGTTCAGAAGAAAAAGTTAGTGAAACATCGTAATTTATTTGTTAGTGCGTAGCAACGCTCTTATCCTCCTATCATCCTTATTTCGACTAAAAAGAATGTTATTATTATAGGAAATGTTACGTACTTTTATTGCTCATTCAGCACCTATTTTAGAAGATAAGTCAACGAAAACGTGCGTAAATATGAAAAATAATAATAAAAGAGTGGAAGAATATAACTTATAAGTAAGTACTTATTGCATTTGTTGTGTACAAGTAGGCACGGTATTGTTTACAAGATTTATTTTATTTTAGATTTAATGAGATAACAGGTAAATGCCCATCAGATGGGGAATGGAAGTTAGCTTGGAAGAGGATGAAGTTGTCGGCTAAATCAAACTTATGTACATATTGGAAGGAACGATCAAAAACAGGGGGTGGCGAAAAACCACCATCACCTACTCCTGAGGACTTACAAATTATGGCAATTGCTTCTCACGACTTTGTCATTGAAGTTACCGATTATGATAGTGATGCAGTGGTAAATAAAATTACTTATATGTCTTACACATTTAATTAAAACGAAATAACTTTATTTTGTATACTAAATATATTTACTAAATTATATAAATAATCTGCCATTAAGGCATACAATTTACAATTCAAAATTATTTTTTAATATTCAAAACTTAATATACATATGTAATAATTTCTTTTCAAGTAATTATATTCTTATTCCAAATTGAAATGTCATAAATTCATACATAGTGGTTTATATATCATAACATGTTACTAGATTATCTACACTTGTCGACCATAATCTATTTTATAATTAATAACTTGCATTACCTATTGCCTCGATCGTAATATTTCCACAGCATATAAAATACCTGATTCAATTAAGGGCAATATTATATAGGTAATGACCGGAAAACATGATAATAAATGTTTTAGTGATTTATTTTAGAACCCAGTGACTGTGGCTACAACTACAAAAGAAATATTTGCTAACCCTAAGCCTTGCCTTAGTTTTAAAAAAAACTGACCCACCAGTAGTTATAAACATAGAATATCCAGAACCTAATGTTGTCGAGGTGCAAGTTAAATAATAATTATTGATTATTTATTAAAAAGCAAAATATATTATTATTATAGTTACAATCATAATAGAAAATACACAAGTTTTCTCAGTATTAAACATGTTTAATTTACTATAAACTTTATTTATATTAATTTTAAGAGATATCAAACGATCCAACTACGGACACAGAAATGAAAATAACCAACAATGAAACTGCTAATACAAGGGGCATTACAAAAACAAAAGACAGGAAAAAGGGCTTGCAAAATAGGTATGTTGTAATAATTACATCTCATACTTTTTAACATTTGAAAATTAGTATTTAATTAAACACTAAAAATGTTTCATATTTTCAAATATTAAAAAGCAATGTTAATATTAATTGATTGAAAAATAATTATAAATATATTTCTTTTGCCTGCAAGGTTAACTTCCTTTCTAGTACGTACTTTTATTACTTCATAATACTTAGTACATAAAAAAACTTACATTAAGTATTTTACGAGAATTTCATGTTACAGAAGAGAAGATATACAGCAAACAATTATAACAAGCAATACAGATTTTAAAAAAGACAACTAGAAATGATGGAAGAGGAACATATATACAACATTAAAATAGCCAAATTGAAAATTAAAAAATTAGAATTACAAATATCTTTGTTAGAAAGTCAAAAAAAATACAAGATAAATAGCAGCTTAATGCTACTGTGTTTCATATGGTGAGTGTATAGAACCAGAATAGAATAGAATAGAATGATTTTTATTCAATATAGGTTATTACATAACATTTATTCAAAAGACATTTTTTATTCACCACTGGTTTGGAAAATACCTCTGTCCTGGGAAGAACCCGCAAGAAACCCAGCGGGACTTTTCTTTTAAACATATTTCACTCAAATTTTGGTTTAATTCAATTTTTAAATTAATTTTAATAGAAACAGCATAGCAGCGATCACCTCATTTGCAGGGGTTATTTTCATTTATGTATTCTTTGATAATAATAACCCTTTTTATATAATTTTTCTTTAGTAAAACATTTATGCCCAAATACTTTAACACTACTCAATTTTAAGAGGCAGTTAAGTCTCGACCTATCTCTATCACTAAGTCAAGGTGAATGTGACACCACAAGACTTAAATACATCTTAAAATTGAAAAGCTTTCGAGTATTTGGCCATTAAACTTTTATATTGAAAAAATTTGTATGAGAGACCCCTTTTACTGGAAACAAGGAATTCCATTTTAGTCCTCACAGGTGACAACGCATCTTTTTTTGATTCATAGTCGAGGATAGATGTAGATGTCTATGTGCCACAGCAACTACTTACCATCAGGTGAACTGTGTGCTCGTTATATCGTATCGTATATTTATTCCATATTGGTGAAAATTGTAATGCTTACGAACCCCGCCTCTCTCCACTGCTGCCCCCTCTACCTCCACTGCTACCCCCTCTTGCACCCAGTCTGAAACTGACCTTAGTGGTGTGCTTGATGGCGTGACTATCAGATCAAAGCGTCTTCGAGAGGAGGAGTGCATGACTGACTTCATGGATGGCATGATGAACTTCCTGAGGGAATTCAAAAATGAGCAAAATCGAAAATTTGATGCCCTCCAGGATTCTATTTCCGGGATACAGGTACAGCAGAAAGAGAAGCTTAACTCCTTACAGCAAACTACAGATGAAATAAGGAAGCAAAATGATGCTATACACGTGTCCATGGAGTACCTTCTCCAGAACACCGAATTAAAAGAGAAAGTGTAAAAAATAGAAAGAGAACAGAAAGAAAGCACTGCTTACATACGTACCCTGGAGAACAGGATTGAGGTCATGGAGCGACAAGGTAGATGCTCAAGTATTGAGATTCGCAATGTGCCGGTGACGAATTATATGTAACTTAAATAGTGTACTTATTAAAAAAAGGATTTTGAAAAGCGTAAAAAACTTTAAGCGTCAATCAAACACGGTGTTCTGGCCAGTACTGAATTTATTTTAATTTTACAATTATCATTACATCCTTCTCCCTCAAATTTACAAATAGTTTCCTTCGCAAAGAATTTACTTATCAGACATAAGTACACAGTAATTATACTTAAGTAATAAAATCATTAAACACCAACATTAGTAATGTAAAAATTAAATACTGAAATAATCCTACATCTTCCTTCTTTTTTTTACACACACCCAGTTGTTTCCATAACTTTATAAGATGAACCATGATGCACCAGTTTATGTTGTTTGTCCATATCTATTCGGTGGTTTCACTGACCTCCCGGATCGTGTAACATAATTATTATTAATAGTATTTTCTCTATATGTTGAGTACATATTTTGGTTGTTATAAGATACACTGGCATTAACGTCATCATATTCGAAGTTATAGTTAGGAGTGTCGTGTCTGTTTGGCGAATCTTTTATTATATGTTTCCTATTTCTAACTATTTTACTACCAGTAACTAATTCAATTTCATATGAGCGGTCTCTTATTTTTCTTGTAATAATCCCAGATATCCACTTTCGTTTATTTACGTCTAGTAACACTTTTACATTCTGCCCGACATTTAATTTTTGCAAATTTTTTGCATTGCGATCATAATACATCTTCTGTTTTAGTTGTTTTTCTTTTAATTTACTTAAAATATTTTTTTGTGTTTTAGGTTTTAAAAATTTTGTAGACATAGGTAATATACTTCTCAATTTTCTACTCTGTAATAATTCCGCCGGAGAAGGCAAGTTTTCATCTAAAGGAGTGTTTAAATATTCTAATAAAGCCAACCTATAATCCTGCCTTTCCGCGGTAGACTTCAGAATTATATTCTTTATTGTTTGAACGGTCCGTTCAACTTGTCCGTTTGATTGGGCGTAACGCGGCGATGAAGTTATGTGTGTGAAATACCATTCTGAATAAAACTGTTTAAAATCTATCGATGTAAATTGTGGACCACAGTCAGTCATGACTATATAGGGTATACCCTGTCTACAAAATATATTTTTTAAAGATGTAATAACAGAAAATGAATGAGTTGACTGCAATTCGACCAATTCAAAAAAATTGCTATAATAATCAATTAATAACAAATAATTTTGGTCTTTAACTTGAAATAAATCTACTCCTATTTTTGCCCACGGTCTATCCGGTATTTCATGACATTGTAATTGTTCCTTTTGATTATTTCGTCTAAATGATAAGCATATTTGACAATTTAACACCATATTTTTTAAGTCATTATTTAGCCCTGGCCAAAATAGAATTTCTCTCGCTCTTAGTTTGCATTTCTCGAGACCCATATGACCTATATGAAGTTTGTTCAAAAATTCTTTTCTTAATATTTTAGGAACAATAATTCTCTCATTTTTCCAAACTAACCCATGTGCAAAAGATAAATCCTCTTTATAGTTCCAATACGGTTTAATTATATCATCCACTTCTCCTTTGACACTTGGCCAGCCTTTTAGCACATACTTCTTTAATTTTATTAATTCGTTATCAGTTTCCGTGTATTTTTGCAATTGCACAAACTGGACGTCTGTAATGTCGTCGGTGACTCTTAAGACGGCCTGTCGTTGCACCGCACACACCTCATCATGCAGCGAATCGGAACTCGGATGAAGTGCGCTTAGCACTGTCGGTTCGTACGCACGTGATAACGCATCGGCTATGTACAAGTGTTTGCCCGGTTTATATACTAGTATGAATGTATAACGCTGTAATATTAACAACATCCGCTGCAAACGTGCTGGTGAATCGACGATGGGCTTTTTAATAATGCTCACCAGAGGTTTATGATCCGTTTCTATCGTAATATCAGTTCTACCATAAATATAAGCGTGAAATCTCACGCAAGCAAATACACAAGCATACAATTCTTTTTCTATTTGTGCGTATCTTTGTTCAGCTTTGTTTAACGCTCTTGACGCGTAGCATACCGGTAAACCATTTTGCATTAAGCACGCGCCCAAACCACTTTTGCTCGCATCCACCGATATAATCACAGGAATATTTAAATTATAATACTGTAATACAGGACTGCTGGACAAACAGGTTTTCAGTTCTTTTAAACATTTTTCATGATTTTCGTTCCAATGCCACTCAGTGTCTTTTTGTAAAAGCTCTCTAAATAAGAGTGTCTTGTTTGATAAGTTTGGAACAAACGTACCTATGTAAGTTACAAGACCTAATAGTCTTTCAATATCTTTCTTATTTTGAGGTTTTGGCATATTAAGTATTGCTGATATATGAGAATCGTCAGGATATAACCCCTTTTCGGTTATTTTATGACCTAAATATTTTATTTCCTTTAAACCAAACCGGCATTTGCTTTTGTTCAATTTTAAATTAATCTTTCTACACCGTTCTAGAACTTTTTTAAGTCTCCTATCGTGCTCTTCTTTGTTGGAACCGAAAACCAATAAATCATCAATATACATGCATACCCCTTCAATATCATCAAAATTTTCATGTATTTTTTTTTTTGTGAAATACTTCTGAAGCCGAACAGATCCCATATGGCATTCGCAAAAATTTGTACCGACCAAAAGGAGTATTGAACGTACAATAATCACTGGTGTCATCTAACTGTACCTGCCAGAACCCTGATGACGCGTCTAGTGTACTAAATATTTTTGCTCCTGATAGTTTTGAGACAATTTCATCAAGAGTTGGAAGCCTAAAGTGTTCCCGTCGAATGGCATTGTTTAATTCTTTAGGGTCTAAACAAATGCGTAAGTCGCCGTTGGCTTTTTTAACTATTGTTATGCTATTGACCCAGTCAGATGGGCCCTCAACCTTAGAAATAATTTGCTGTGACTCCATTTCATCCAATTTTCTTTTAAACTCATCCCTAATTGCGAATGGTAGCTTTCGAGGAGCATGCACTACGGGTACACTATTCTGCTTTAAGCCTATTGTATACTTACCCGGTAAACATCCTAAGCCTTAAATACGTCCTCATAATCTTTAATAAATAACGGTTCATTATTTTTATCCTCTTGCACAGACATGAAACGCCTAACCACGTCCAATTCTATACATGCGTACTTGCCTAGTATAGGAATAGAGTCTACGTCAACTACAATAAATTCCAAAATATACAAATTATTTTTATAACTGACTCGTAAATTTATTTTACCAACTACGTGTATATGGCCACCCGAGTTAACTACTAAGTTTTGTACTACTTTTCAATACATCGTGTTTTGTAATCCCTATACTTGATAAAAAATTTTATAGGCAATACATTGACATCCGCACCGGTATCAATTTTAAAGCATATTTGTTTATGATTAATTAATAAATTTACATTCCAGTCAATATGGCTTTCTAATAAATTTATTACCTGTTCATCCGATTCTTCTATATAATATACATCACACACTCGTGCAAAATGATTCATCTTTGAACAGCGTACACACCGTTTACCAAATGCAGGACACTCGTATTTCTTATGTACATTCCCGCAATTAATGCACTTGTCCTTTAGCGGGATATAATTATAGGAAAAACCTTGACGGTATGGTGGTGCTGGTCCACTCCGCCAGCCGCTCCGGCTGCCGCTTGCGCCCGTAGCGTGCGCCGCGGTCCGCCAGCAGCCCGTACTCGAGATGGCTCCCTTGTTGCCCCGACCCCGATTGCCACTTGGTTCATTTCTTTGGTTATCCCGTGATGGGTTTAAAACTTTATGTACGGCACCTATATCCTCTCTTTCTCTATTTAAATTTCTGACCTCATAAATTGGCTCTTCACGTCTTATATTTTCCGAGTGAACCTTTGAAATTATCGCCGCACGACATATGTCCAATGCAGTTTTTAATGTAAAATTATCTTCCCTTAATAATCTTTCCCGTATACTCGCACTAGTCACACCACAGACCAGTCTATCCTTTATTAGACTATCAGATAATTCTCCAAATTCGCATGTCTGAGACAATTTACGCAACTCAAATACATATTGATCGATCGTTTCATTTTGTTTTTGATCTCGTGTGAAAAACTTATGCCGCTCAACGGTAACGTTTCTTGTAGTTTTAAAATGTTGGTCTAGTATTGTTAAGACACCCTCAGCTGTTACGTATTTTTCCGAAGACTGGTCTAAAATGTCTCGACACTGTTCTCCAAGCACATGTAGTAATATATTTAGTTGGATGGGTACATTTTTCTTATCAATCTCGCAGGCTTTACAATATATGATATAACTATTGCGCCATTTTGTCCAACTTTCACTTAAACTTCCAGAAGACGAATCAATTGCATTTCTATCAAAACAAAATGGAGGTGGCGGCGTTAAGACACTCCATTTTTAATACGCCGCCACTGTAATTATTACTACTCACTTTACACCGATAACAAACTAATTAATGTTATTAAATTATAATATATTTATCTCATTAATAACAAATCTTTGCTCCATTTTAAAATTTAAATTACCGACTGCGCCATGTCATGTGTGACGTGCGTCAATCAAACACGGTGTTCTGGCCAGTACTGAATTTATTTTAATTTTACAATTATCATTAAGGAAATAGATTTAGTACAGAACACATACATATCAAAGGAGTTGTTCAGCCTATATTCGTCTCCGAGAACTTAACTTCAAAATCAAGAAGATTACTTTTCCTGGCTCGTGATTTTGCAAACTCCAACGATTATTCATTCTGCTGGGTAACCCATGGAAGAATATTTCTACGCAAAAGAGAGGAAGAAAAACTTATACGCGTGAACTCTGAACTGGATTTAGCTAAGCTGGTAAATGTGAACAACTGACTAT